AAAAAAAAAAAAAAAAAAAAAAAAAAAATACAGATTCCTGGACTATCCTTGAAGCTTCGGGGATGGGGCTCAAAAGTCTGTATTTTTTTGTTTGTTTCCTTGGTGAGTCTAATACATGATTAAGTTTGGCAACCACTACGGTGCACCATTTTTTTCTCTAAATTATTTCAAATGTCTAATGTTGCCTTTTCAAAAACACTGTAACTCCTTTGAGAACAGCTACCATCCAATATAAATTTCTAGGGAGCATACCCTCTTAGCCTTGCATTGTATCAAGCCTGTTAGCCAGCATCTTTCAGGCTATACATATTTCCAATCCAGACTGACTCACTCATCTATACTCTTCTCTATCACAAATTACCTTTCCTAGTCAAATCTTTTCCTGTTTCCTTTTAAAATCAGAAGATTGTCCTCCTTCCTTTCCAACTTAATACTGGCTAAGTTTAACCCAATTCACATGGAATGAATCCCAAAAACTTTAAATCAGTAGCTTATAGCTTGTAGTTATGATGTTACATCTTTCACATGTGAGAGTAATCGCCAAGGGAAAGCTTGACATTATAACAAGTATTGCTCTTGACACAGTAAGTAGTACTTTGGTGCTATACCAAGAACCCAACATGATGGGAGGTAATGCCAAACTATAAGAAGTGTGTTTTATATTTAAATCAGGTCATCAAGGATGTGATACTTAAAGTCACTATGGACCTTACAGCTATACAATAAAGGACTTTCTTAACAGGAAGCAACAGTACAGCTGATCATCAAATGGAAAAAGGAACAATACTCAATGTTGCTGCCACTTTGGACCTTGTCATTTATTCAGCTTTTGACTTTTTCTTGAAAACCAAATCAAGACCTATGTACATAAGGTTTTATTTCATTTGAAGAGTTCATTGTTTGTAATTTTTAAAAAGCAAAAACACATTTAGAAAAAAAATGATACACATCAAGAAAGAACAGTGGATATTGTAGATACTAATAAGTTTGGTTTAGTATTTGTACCTGCAGAATCATTATTAAAGAGAGGAAGGAAGGTAGGAGGTCTTAGGAGGGAGTTGGAAACAAAGAGAGAAGGGTGAAAAAGAGCAACTAGCAGAATACACCATGGGAGCAGAAATTAATTTCTCTCATTCACTGCTATACTTTCAGTTCCTTGCACAGTATCTGATACCAAGGAGGTACGCAACATGTGTATTGAAGGAACAAATGAACAAATGAATAGTGTTAAGGTTACTGCTAACTGTCTCTTCCCTTCTAGTTACTGGTCTTTTGCCTTCAGTCAGGCTTATTTTTTTCTATTAAAAAAAAGCCCTTCACTTTCCCTTCCATTCTGTACCCATTTGAAAAAGTGACTTA